GGCAGGGGGGGTGGGGGGGTGCCTGGCAGGGCAAGCGGTTTAAACCCTAAATTCATGTGAGGGGCTGTGCTGGTCAGAGGAAGGGGCTGTGGGAGAGAGCAAAGACTGAGCCTGTGCTTTTTGGTGTCTTTTTTTCCCTTTTCAGGGCAGTTTGTAGTGCTAAAGCGTCTCGCCCATCTGTGGGGCAGGGAGCAGCAGCACAGCAGCTGGAGGGGAATGAAGGGACGTGGGCGTCTGCCCTGGGATGGGAATGAAATTGGGAAGTGTTTGCCTGGAGCTGCGGCAGTGGCGATGGGATGGCTGGGCTGAGTCGGCCCAATACAATGACGTTGCTCTCCTGTATTTTCCTTAGATCTTGAGGAGACCGCAGAGCACAGAGCCGCTTGCACCTTGCGAGCTGAGAAAGTCTTGGAGGAAGAGGAGGAGATGCAGAAGGAGAGGGAAAGGGAGGAGAGAAAGAATCCCTGGGAAAAAAGTGCCCAGAATGCAGAGGAGGGCTGCAGGGCCCTGCCCCGTCCCCTTCAGAGCCTAGCTGAGGCCCTGGGGAACTTTGGATTGCTGGAGGGTCATGCCTGAGCTATGGCTAAGCCTGGCTCAAGCCCCTGGCCTCTCTGGAGGGCAGCAGGGCAGCCTGCAGGTGCCAGCTGAGCCCAACCTAAGCTCTGAGACTCTCTGGAGGGCAACAAGGCAGCCTGCAGACCCCAGCTAAGCCTGGCCCCAGCCCCAGGGCTATCTGGAGGACAGCAGGGCAGCCTGTGGACCCCAGCCTAAGCCCTGATAGTCTCTGGAGGGCAGCAGGGCAGCCTGGGCACCCTGGCCAAGCCCAGCCCAAGCCCTGGGGCTGTCTGGAGGGCAGCCCACGGACCCCCGCTAAACCCAGCCCAAGCCCCAGGGCTATATGGAGAGCAGACCACGGATCCCCGCTAAACCCAACCCAGGTCCCGGGGCTATATGGAGGGCACACCACGGACCCCCGCTAAGCCCGGCCCAAGGAGGGCCCGGTTCTGCCCTCCCCGTTGTGACGCGGCGCAGCAGGCAGGCGGCGCTGTTCGCAC